CCCGCGCCCGCCGCGCCGCCCCCGGCCTCGCTCACCTGCGCGCCTCGGCGCCCGCCCGGCTCAGAGCGACAGGCCCCGCCGGCCCCCTCCGGGCGCCATTTTGTCTCCGGCCCGGAAGTGACGACGGAGTGGGCGGGGCCCCGGAAGGGCGTGGCGCGCCCGCCGCCGGCCGCAGCGGCAGCAGGTTGCGCGGCCCCTGGAGTCCCGGGGCGGGGGGAGGGGGGGAGGGAGGATGCTGGCGCGCGCCCCTCGCAGCCGCGGGTCCCGCAAGGTGCTAGTCCTCAGTGAGGGCCCTGCAGCTCCCCCTCGCGGTGGGCCAGAGGGCTGCGTCGAGGGGGCCGAAAGCCTTTGGCAGCCGCCTGCTCACAACACCCCAGCTCAAGCCGCTAGTTCTCAGTGGGGACCGGGCAGCATCAGGGTAGGGACTCTCATGAGCCTTTTCTGCAATACTCCCACCTGCTCCCTACCCAATTTCTAATCCTTCATGGTAATCGGGGCATTTCGTGCCCACTGAGAGGCACTTGGGTTTGGGGGCTGTGCTGGAGAGGAGTACCCTGCACGGCCTTTCTTCGATGTGTCCCAAACACACCCCTCTGCCTTAGTGAGTGTCCAGGGGAGTGTGGCGATTACATCGCAGAAAGAGGGAATACTTCCAAGTATCGTCACAGCTTCACCTCACTAAATGACCAGGCACTTCATGCGCACTGAGAACTAAGAAGCTGAGGGACGTGCTGAGGAAAACGCCACCCCTCCTTTTCAGTACACGTGGCACATGTTCCTAGTCCTCAGTGCATGTCTGGACAGTGCCCATCCACTAAAGCCAACTCTCCAATGCTCATCTTCTTCAAAGAACTTTTTTCCCCTTCCACACATCCTTTCTTTGAATGTGTGTTAATTTGACTTGATTATTTCTAGAAAATTTTACGGGAAAAAAGCTCCTACAAAAATAATCTAAACCTGTCTTTATTTAATAGTAATGTTATTCATCTGAACTTTTGATAAAATATGCCTTTAAATAGTACCAGCCCAATAACCTTGCATATATATTTTAAACTTTTTTATTTAAACAAGTTCTCAGTTAATTTTGATTAATTTATTGGTTGTGTTTATTGTTGTGCGTGAGTATATTCTATTATGAGGTGTTCTCTATTATTTTATTGTTTTACCATTTTATCTGATTAATAACTGTTTTATGTATGTTTTATGGCAGTCTAGTGCTGTAATCTGCCCAGAGAACCTTCGGGTTATGGGGCAGCATAGAAATGGAATTAATTTAAATCAGTTAAAAAAGCATTCTCTTTTTTGCTGATGCTTGGTTTTGTTGAAAGATTGTAACAATCAAAATTATAAATAATAAAAATCCACAAGCTGCTATGCTGGTTCACTACGGAAAAATAAAGCAATGCATCTGAAATGAATAGAACTGAAGGAATACCTTTCTTAAGATACTTGTGTTAATCATTCCAAGTGTTTCTTACTCCGAGTGTGCAGGAAAATGGAGCCACACATTTTTTTCTAAATTGAAAAAAGGAAAAAAACGGTGCCTCTAATTAGGCTATTACAGAAACTCAGAACTCCTTCTTGGATCACTGCCTTGCCGTGGCGAAGGGGCTTGCGTAGCTCAATGGAGCCATGAGCTGTGCCGTGCAGGCCACCCAAGACGGATAGGCCATAGAAGGGAGCTCTGACAAAACGTGATCCACTGGAGAAGGAAAAACGGTGCCCCTAGTTTACATTGTAGAAATAAAGAAATTAGGCTATTATAGTAACACAGAAACAGAGCGAGTCAGAAGGGGTCTCCCGGGCCATCTAGTCGGACCCCCGGTATACAAATGAAATAAACCCCATGTGGCTTATTTTATTTTATTTTATTATTTAAAACGTCTATCCTGTCTGCCACTGAGATCTTGGGATGGTCTTACAATAAACGGGATAATACATCTTTCAATAGATCTCCACTCCCTCCCTGCCCAGTCCACTTAAGAGTATAATGGGGAAAAGAGGATTCTGAGATTGGGCAGTACCAAATTGGTGGCCAGTTTTTAGATTTGATATAAAATCTTCTGGAAAGTGTTTATAGCTGCTGGAATTCACAGCTTAGTGGCGAACTTGGCCCCTGAACCATTTTGCTCATGCTCTGTCCTCCAACGAATTAGGTCTACTCGCTTTTCCTCCAAAGCTGGATCTTGCCCCACTGACATCCAACGTTGCTGGTCTGGGTTAGTTTTTGGCCCAAGGCGCCGGGCAGAATAGACCAGGCGTCTCCCGGGTTTAGGACCTGTGGGCAACATTTGGGGATTTGAGAAGCTACCCTGGGCACCCTCGCAAAATGTCTAACCTGTGGATCGTTGCTTTCACTCCTCTTGATCTTAGACTGCATGTTACTTAGCAAAAATATTTGTGTGTGTGTGTGTGTGTGTGTGTGTGTGTGTGTGTTGGACACCACGATGTCTCCTTAATATGGGATGATCTAGTCCAGCCTGTTGTCTCTGTTGCAGTCCAGCAAACGCTTCTTTTGGAGACATGTCAGCATTTCTTGTTTTTGGAGGGGGCTTCTCAGGAGGGTATGATGAAGACATGGGTTAGAAACGTAGAAACAGCGCGAGTCAGAAGGGGCCTCCCGGGCCATCCAGTCTGACCCCCGGCTCCAGCCGGCTCCGCTCACGACATGCCCACCATGTGCACGTCCAGCCTGTCACAAGGGTTCTCCAAGCCCATTTTCAGCTGTCTGGATGAAGTGCCCCCGAAGGAGAGGGAAGGAGGCGGGAGTGCTGTTTGGATGTGGCTTCACCCACCAGCCCTAGCCTCATCCTCTCTCTCTCTCTCTGTCTGGGTTTTGGGTTGTTGGAATGAAACGTTTTGGAGGAGGGAATGTAAACATTTCTATTTATATATGTCTTCCCCCAGTTGTACATTTTGACTTCCATGCACCGGCGTTAGTGAATTTGGCTGTTCACTTAAACTGAAGAGAGGTTTTCTTTTTAATTCATTTTACTGTACTTATACTTAAAGAGTCTGCTGAAAACTTGTCTCTGTCTACTCTGAAGTAGTGAGGCTTGTTTCCAGGTAAACGTGCCTGAGGTTGCTGCCTGGATTGCATGCAAAACGGACAAACCCTTCCTACAAATGTACAGTCTCATGTCTGAGTTAGAGCTAATCGTTGGCTCCCCAAGCGCAAGACGTATTTTCTTTGGAGTAAGTCATAAATATGCTTTTTAGCACTGGGGCCCCCTGCCTCTCTTTCTCTGTGAATCTCATAGAAAAATGGAAGTTGCACATTCCTTTATTTTTAAAATTCTCAATAAATCTTGCCACTAGGTGGTGACAGAATTCTATTTCTCTCTCTCTCTCTCTATTTTTTTGTAAATAATAAGGAACAGAAAATAAAACAAGGGCATCAAAAAGAAAAAGTTACCAAGGGACCATGTAATACAGTTGCTTATAAAATTAAATGTGAGAAGTTCTGCAAAGAATCAGCAGTCGACATTATTTCATCTAAATGTATAGCTGCAATTTTATATGATAATACCTATAGATAATGCTCAATTAACTTGATAAGTAGCCAAATAAAACCAATAATTTCACATGGAAAATTGCTTTAACATAGACGACAAGTAAACTAAAAATCATCCCTGAGCATATCCAGAAACCAAATTAGAATTAGAGATATTTTCCCTCTTTTCTCTCTACTAATAAAATAATGTTTATCAAGCATCTAGTTGCCAGCAACGTGCTGTTCCCAGTACCTTGAAAATAATTCTTTTTGCAGCTGTGCAGCAATGCTCAATAGCCTACAATTCTTCTGGAATGGGCACAATCCAGGCAATCTGTTCAATATGCATCCCAGGGGCTGCTCTGGACTTTATGACTGCCATCCTATAAAGGGGCAGTCTCCATGGGGACACCCCAGACAAGCAAAACATGATGCAACATAATTGCTAGTAAAATAATTATGCAAAGTTCTGAATTACATTTTGATATCTGTGCTGTTGTAGCAATTATAGTGCACAAATTCTCATGTATGGGCAGAAATCCTGCTTAGACATGGCCGAGAGTTAAGTCCCATTGAATAGACGTCCATAGGATCTCATGGTTAATATTTATTTCTGTGCTGCTAGGAAACTCCAGTGTTCCTCTCACTTTTGTCTCATCTTGTTTTAAGAGCAGCAGATTTATCGATTGATAAAGAGTTTTAAGAGATTTATCGATAGAGAAATCAAGCTTGTGATCATACCAGGATTTGATTCATGTGGTGCTTTGCCAAGGTTCAGGAGCATTCTTCAAAGCAACCCAAAGGGACCTTGTTCGGTCACAACCATGGTTGTCGTTTTTCATAGCGTTGGATCAACGTGTGTTTTGGTCCTACAGAAGAGGCTGAAAGAACGCCAAAGCCGAACGCCTCCTATCCTAACACAAGAAAAACCTTGCTTCAGCTGGAGCTGGAAAGGGGGAGAGCACAGAACCACATGCAAAAGAGGCCGGCCAGGAACAGGGCCAGACCATCCTCTGCCACTCGGTGCTGGTAGCTTCATCCCATGGCTGGAACCATGTCCTCCTCTTTTCGGATGAAATATGCTGTCAGGCTGGAATGTGAAGGGCTGAACAATTCAAACACACTTCATTACTCCAAATACAGATGGAGGATAACAGGAAATGGTTCGCTTTGTAATCTGAATGAAGCTGCAGCCCTGCGGGAACACCATCTGGAGAGGAGTTTTGATGATCAGGGACGCTAACAGTACTTTCATATCTGCAGTTGCCCCCTGTTGTCTGTGGACTGGTGCCCACTTCTCATAAAACATAGGAACAAAGAAACAGAGTGAGTCAGAAGGGGTCTCCCGGGCCATCTAGTCTGACCCCCAGCTCCAGCCGGCTCCGCACATGACATGCCCTCCATGTGCATGTCTAGCCTATCTTTGAACACCCTCACAATGCCATCCTGACTTTTGCAATTTGTGGGGTTGTTAGAGAATTCATTTTTCCTGTGTTTTGCTTGAGTGTGTCCATATAAACAGGGGAAAAGATAGATAGGGATTTCCATCCAGATCTCCAGGGGCTGGTATATGTGTTTTTGCAAAAAGAAAGAAAGAAAGAAAGAAAGAAAGAAAGAAAGAAAGAAAGAAAGAAAAA